ACCACAACAACGTCAACGAAATCAACAACGACGACGGCGACAACAACACCACCACCACCAACACCAACAACACTATCACCACCACCACCACCAACAACAACAACAACGCCATCAACAACAACACAACAACAACAACAACAACAATCATTCAATATGCATATCCCAACAACAACAACACAACAAAACTTATCTGCTCGCGTGTCATTCAATATGCATATCCCAAACCCTGGATACCCGCCCTCTTCGTCTTCGATCGTACCCCCTTTTGGGGGTTATATTCATTCCATGCCACGTGTGGTTGGTGAAGCCCTTGAAAACGAAGGGTAACAGATAACGCCCTTGAAAACGAAGGGCATACATGTATGGGGCCAGAAAGGGCGACAGCGGGGCCACTGAGCGCAGAAAGTGGGCCACGAAGGGCAGCGAGGGGGCCACGAATGAAACGCATGCGTATGGGACAACGAAGGGCGCGAGCGAGCGGGGGCCACGAAGGGCAATTAATCCGGGGCCACAGAGGGCAGCGACGGGGCCGCTGAAGGCAGAAACGGGGCCACGAAGGGCAGAGAGGGGGCCACGAAGGGCGACAGCGGGGCCACGAAGGACATGCATATGGGGCCACGACGGGCGCGAACGAGCGGGGGCCACGAAAGGCATTCTGGGGCCACAAAGGGCGACAGCGGGAAGGGGCCACGAAGGGCAGCGAGAGGGCCACGAAGGGCGACAGCGGGGCTACGAAGGACATGCGTATGGGGCCACGACGGGCGACTGCGAGCAAGGGCCACGAAGGGCATAAAATGCGGGGCTACCATGGGCAGCGACGGGGCCACTGAGGGCAGCAACAGGGCCACGAAGGGCAGCGAGCGAAGGCGACCGCGGAACCAGTACGGGCAGCGAGGGGCATCGAAGGCGGGCGAAGGGCAGCGAGCGGCGACTGCAGTCCCTAACGGGCTAGTCGGGCGGGCAGGCCCAGACGGGCGGGTCGAGCGGGCGGGTCGTTGAAGCGTAAATTCTGCTTGAACCGCCAGGCGATATGTAGCGGGAGCGCGACTCCTGAGTGTCGAGGAGCGGCATCTGAATAAACTGTGAGGAATATCAAGCGGGAGCCGCGATTCGGTGGTAAGTTGCGAGGAAACCCCAAGCGAGAGCACGATTCTTCAATAAATTGTGAGGAAGTATCAAGCGGGTGCCGCGATCCGGTGGTAACTTGCAAGGTAGTCCCAAACGAGAGCGCGATTTTTCAATAAATTATGAGGAAGTATCCGGCGGGAGCCGTTGTTGTTGCTGTTGTTGTAAACCGGGGACCAACAACACAGTTTGACCTTCAAGACTCTCCCTGATAAAAAAACAGGGTGCGAGACTCAGGAAGGGCACTTCAATCGAAAAAATCAATGTGCACGGGACGGGGGGGATCAACAATAATTATTCTCCAGAAATGAGTGTTCAGCAACAAAAACAACAAAAACAACAAGAACAACAAAAACAACAACTTCTACTTCTACTTCTACTACTACTGCTACTACTACTACTACTACTACTCGTACTCGTACTCGTACTCGTACTCGTACTCGTACTACTACTACTACTACTACTACTACTACTACTACTACTACTACTACTACTACTACTACGACTACGACTACGACTACGACTACGACTACGACGACTACTACTACTACTACTACTACTACTACTACTACTACCACTACCACTACTACTACCACTACTACTACTACAACTACTACACTACTACTACTACTACTACTACTACTACTACTACTACTACTACTACTACTACGACGACGACGACGACGACTACTACCACTACCACTACTACTACCACTACACTACCATACTACCACTACCACTACACTACCACTACCACTACTACTACTACTACTACTACTACTACTACTACTACTACTACTACTACTACTACTACTACTACTACTACTACTACTACTACTACTACTACTACTACTACTACTACTACTACTACTACTACTACTACTACGACGCAACAGCAATCCGCAGCGCGGAACCCCACTTCAGCCACGCGCCCAGGGGACAGAGGGCCGTTCGGCCCCCCCACTATGACCCAGGGAGGGAAGCCGAAAAACAAAAATAGACTGCGAGGCGGCTCCTCCTCCTCCTCCTCCTCCTCCTTCTCCTCCTAATCCTCCTCCTCCTCGTCCTCGTCCTCCTCCTCCTCCTCCTCCTCCTCCTCCTCCCACGGTCCCCCTGGGGGCGGTGTCTACCCCAGAGGGCAACGGCACGACCCTCGGGCCGAGGCACCTGGGTCGGCGGAGCGCGCCCTGTGGGGCGCCACTGGCCGAGGCGGAGGTGCCCGGGGCACCGCAGGGAGCCGGCTGCCGCCGAGGCCCTGCGACCTGCGGGAGCTCTCCACCTCGCTGCGGTGAGCCCCCCCCCAAAGACCCCCACCGCTTTGAGAGGGGGCCTGAGCTAGGAGGGCCAGCAACTGAGGGAGAGGGTGTCTCTGTTTTCTGCAGGTGTGACAGACCAAACCGCCCACATATTTGTTCATTTTTATATATATATATATATACACACATGCGTATATATATATATATATATATATATATAGCGTATATATACGATCCCTGTGCGAAGATGGGGGCCGACGTGTGGCGACGTCTTCATCGGATTATTCGTCTTAGGGGTCCTTCTGCCCTCAATGATCGGAGGTCGGCGGCGGCGGCGCGGGGGAGGGCAGTCAAAAAAGATTGCGAGGCGGGGGGGGTCATCCATCACCACCGCAAGGTTTTCCAAGAATTTCCAGCGTTTCCCCCCTTCGGGCGACGTGCACCCGTGGGCCGCGGCGCGATCTTGGGCTGAGGCCCCCAAGTCGGCGGAGCGCGCTTTGGGCGCTGATTGCTCAAGCCGCGCTGCCCGAGGCACTCAGCTGCCAACCTCGGCGGAATTCCGCGACGTCGCTGCAGCTCCGCACCGGCCGCACCACCAAAAGCCTCGTCGTTGTTGCCAGCTCGGCGCCGATATCGCCGACGCAACCGCGACGCATCGGCACCGTCGGCGATGCACCGTAAGCGTCGGCGTGGGGAAAATCTGGCTACGCATCATAGTCGGAGGAGACGAAAACTAGAGGAGACGAGACGAGACAACGGCAGCTTCAAACTGGTCCCTGGACTCCTCCCCGCGTCCAGGCGCACAAATTTTCCGAGATGCGCCCAGCCGTAGCGACGAGGGGGCCCACCAGCATTGTGTCAGCTCGCCCTTCTCTGAAGAATACAGTAGGGGCCCGACCACAAGAAACCCAACCCTGAGACCCCAGGGTGTCCATTGGTTTTTGGTTAGGGAACGTCCCGCTTTCCATCGCAAAACCATCGAAACCCAAGCAACCCAGGGCACCCTGTAGGCGAGCAGGGTGTTTCTTGGCATGGGCCCCCACCTGTAGTCCCTGGGAGGAGTGGATGGAGGGAGGAGGAGGAAGTTCAGAAGACGCTCCCGGGAGCCTCTCGTCATCACCGGAGTGGCCGCACTGGCTCCTCCGGTGGCCGCCCGCGGGCCTCGAGCGACCTCCGGTGGCTCCTCCGGTGGCTCCTCTCTGATGGCCATCCGTGGCCTCCTCCGGTGGCACCCTGCGGCCTCCAGTGGCGCCAGCAAGCGGCTCTTGGCCAGTGGAGAGGCAAGATCGTGCTTTCACATCCTTCTTCCAATCCAGAAGGATATTGCAGAAGATCTGAGAGTTGCAGCTGCGTCTCGAATACATGAGGAGACTCAGAAAACACTGACAAGTCGGACCAAGTGACGACAAACAACTCCCCTTGGCCGTCTTCTGAAAGGGAGGAGGGCGGGAGGCCGCGGCCGAAAGCCCCCATGGCCGAATCGCCAGTCCGCCACGTCGGCCGACGCTGGCGGCTGGCGCGTCAAGGCGCCTGCAGAATTACTCTTTTGGCGGCGGGAATCCGCGATTTTCCATGGGCACTAGAGTCCTCGTATATGGGGTCCGAGCAGATGCGGTCGAAGGATCGCGCCGCATCGCAAATGCATCGGCGATGCATCGGCGACGTCGGCAAGGCATGGCCAACGTCGGCGTCGGGAAGCACGAACTCCACATCGAGCCGCATCGTCGAAGAAACACCACACACACACCCTCAAGAAAGAAACCAAAAACTACTGTTACCGCTACTCCCCAGACCTCTCCCGGGGTGCGTTCTGACCAGGATTTCGAGGCGAATCTAGCGGTGGCGACGACGGAGGCCCAGGAAAGGGGAAACCGAGAGGAGGGCGGAACTCCGGAGGTGGACTTCCAGGGCGAGACCGGCAGAGGGCGAGGCTCAACGAGGAGGAGGAGGAGGAGGAGGAGGAGGAGGAGGAGGAGGAGGAGGAGGAGGAGGAGGGGGAGGAAGGAGGAGGAGGGGGGGAGGAGGGGGGGGAGAGGAGGAGGAGGAGAGGGAGGAGGAGGAGGAGGAGGAGGAGGATAGGAGGAGAGGAGAGGAGGAGGCAGGAGGAGGAGGAGGAGGAGGGGAGGAGGAGAGGAGGAGGAGGCAGGAGGAGGGAGGAGGAAGGCGGAGGGGAAGGGAGGAAAAGGGGAGGAGGGGACGGGAGGAGAGGAAGGAGGAGGAGCGAGGAGGAGGAGGAGGAGGAGGAGGAGAGAGGAGGCAGGAGGAGGGGAGGAGGAGGAGGAGGAGGGAGGAGGAGGAGGAGGAGGACGACGAGGAGAACGACGAGGAAGAGGAGGAGGAGGAGGGCGGAGGAGGAGGAGGAGAGGGAGGAGGAGGAGGAGGAGCGGTGGGGAGGATGGAGGGGAGGAGGAGGAGGAGGAGGAGGAGGCAGGAGCAGGAGGAGGAAGAGGAGGAGAGGAGGAGGAGGAGGAGGAGGAGGAGGAGGAGAGGGAGGACGAGGAGTAGGAGGAGGAGGAGGAGGAGGAAGGAAGGAAGGAGGAGGAGGAGGAGGGAGAAGGAGGAGGAAGAAGGCGAGAGGTGCAGAGGGCGCAGCGCTCCCCCCTCGTACCGGCCGGGCGCCCCTCCGCAGAGCCCGCGGCCCCGAAGCAGGCGGCCAGCGCCGCGGCGGACCAGAGGAGCAGCACGAGGGTGCAGCACCTGCAGGCAGCGAGGGGCGACGGACGACAGACGAACACGACGACGACGACGCCGACGTCGACGACAGCGGACGACGACGACGACGACGACGACGAGGAGGACGAGGACGAGGACGACGACGACGACGCCGACGGCGGGCCCGCGACGACGACGGACGACGACACGATGGACGACGACGACGACACGACGGCGGACGACGACGACGGATGGCAGCGCCCCCTCAAGCGGCAGGCGCCCCCTTGGGGGTGCCAGGAGCGGCGGAAGCCGATCCCTACACTATCCCTCCCACGATGCTGCGGCCATCATTTTTGACCGCAGACAGATACAGTCGGGCCGCTCACCGAAGGAGCGATGAGTAAGGAATGATGCCCCTGTTTTTCCAGATGACCGACGAAAGCAAACGAGCCCGACGCGAGAGGGCGCAACGACCTTACGCGATGACTCACGCAGGCCGCCGGCGCAACACGCCACAACGGAGACGAGGGCGCTTACGCGCGACCTTACGCGGGCAGCCTACGCGCCAATGTCGGCACAAGAGCGGAGCGCTAGCAAACCCAAGGAACGACCGAACCCCTTTTGAGAAGCACGTGTTCCTTATTCAGGGGCCCGGCTGTATGTGGCGAAGGCGCCTCGCCAAAATACCCTAAACGCCAAATTTTGACTTGATGTTGTTTTGTCTGGCGGAGGCGCTGCGCGTCTCAAGCTCGCGAGCGAAGAGAAACCAAACCAGCACACACCACACCTGCGTGGGCATGGTTGAAAATGGCGGGGATGGGTCGACTAGTTGCTGCAAGCGAACCATTGCAGGCCGCTCTTTTTGATTCGGAAAGGGCATGTGTCAAAAATGCTATGCGGGGTAAAAGCATAAATTGATAACATTGGACCACACGAGAACACCATGCTGCAAACCAACCACTATCCGCCCGTCTATGTTTCTCAGACGGACCCCCACTCTGAAAGGGACCACCCTCCATCCGTGTTACCTCTCGCCCAATGTCGAACAGGGAGCGATCGCCAAATCTCGCACAAGGAGCGGTCCCCCATCTGGCCGTATACGGCAGTATGGTGTGAGACGAATGAGCGCGGCGCTGAGGCGAGAGACCGACGTCGAAGGCCACCCGTGCTCAATCCGTGCGCAACTGCTGGGCCACAGTTATGTTTCAATGTTCTAGATTACTGGAGCTGCGAAGCGAAAGACCTGCCATGCACCACCGACGCGTCTGGCGATACGACGAGAAGGAGCGACTCTGATGACAAAGGATGGAGAAGTGATCAGGAGGATGAACTTGAACGTTCGTGAGGACGCGGTGTATCCGAGGAGGATGGGGAGGAGTGAAGATGACAGGCGAGGCGGCGGCGGTGTACGTATGTGCGTGTGCGTGTGTCGAGGAGGAAGTGGGGCGATAAGATCTGTGAGGAGGAAGGATGGGGGTTGAGTGGAAGGGGGACGGGGAGGGTGAGGATGGGTGGACAGGACAAGTGAGGACGGGGCAAGGGAATCCGAGTTGCGCGAGGGACGCGGAGGTCAGAAGAGAAGGGAGGGAGAGTGAGGCAGGCAAAGAGGACGAGAAGGAATAGGAGGAATAGGAGGAGGAAGAGGAGGAGTGCAAGAGAAAGCGAGGGACACCGAGCCGCCTCTGAAACACAGCGGGCCGCATTATCCAAGCGGCTGCACCCACTGGAGCCGCGGGCGCGAGGCTGGCATAGGCCTGCAGGGGCGGACTGGCAGGAGGAGGAGGAGGATAGTTATCATCATGAGATGGTCAAGAGCTGAATAGCAAACAGGTGGCCGTGAGATGGATGACGATGATGGAGGGGTGGACGCTGGTGGGAGGAAGGAGAATAATAGGGGGCAAGGAAGAGGGAGGATGACAGGCAAGAGAATGAAGGAAGCGGATGGGAATCATTGGGAAAGCAAAGCGGCGGATTCGATGAGGCTGCGCGACACCGCGACTCCGTCAACACGGCCACTTGTACCCGTCGTCGCATGATGAGTCACAGGCACGTCGAATTACGTGTGATGGATTACTCTTTCCCAACAACGAGAAAAGGCAGCGCGAGCACAATGTAATCGCATATCTTGCTTCGATTAGCGCTGGGGTTCACTGCAGCCCTACGGACGGACATGCTGCAAAGGAACGGACCATAGAGATGTGTCGGCGATCGTCTAATACATTATATTGGCACGTGGGCACTGACCACTCTGGCGCGGTGTGCCCTGCTTGGTGGTGTGGGAAGCGACCCCCATGTTGAGCGTGCGTTGACCGCTCTCTGACGCTGCAACGTTAATGGCGAAGCACGTCTACATCGCAAAGCGGGAGGGCTAGCTAGGATTAGGTCGGACATGTCCTCCTACAAGCGGATGTTGGAGGAGCAACTCAACATTTACAACAACAACAACAACAACAACAACAACAACAACAACAACAACAACAACAACAATCACTTTACCCGAACGCTCAGTGTTCTCACCAGTGCCAGGGTTTTCATGCGACGCCAGCCAATACCCCCACTTTGTGGGGGGGCAGTGCAAGCTCTACCAAATATCCACACGACTCTTCGCCACCACCCACACCCAGCTTCCCGCCCTATGACGTTCGGACACTTCACTTCGTGGCCTGCGGACGACCGTGGCTACTACACTGGCGTGGAGTACACACCCACAGAAGTTGTTAAGCCTACGTTCGTACACCCACAGAAGTTGTTAAGCCTTGTTAACCCACAGAAGTTGTTAAAAATGGTGCTAAAATTCTTAAAACCCAATGGTTTTTGGAGATTTCGGCGTGCGCGCGCGAAGAAAAAACGAATGTGTCCCGCATGGTATTATTTGACAGGGATGATGGCCCTGGCAGGTGCGCAACCGTTGTCGCAGAAGTTCGAAAAAGTTGCTCGCAAAAGCCCGTTTGACAGAAATGTTTAAAAAGTGTTGGGTTTCCTACGAATCCGCAAGAGCGCGCGGGATGAGATTTTGACATTTTTTTGTTGAAAAACCATTGGTTTTTTGATGTTTTTATGTTAAAATCGCTCCGAACACTAAGCTTTTGGAAGGATTTCGTCTTGCGCGCGCGAATGTCCACTTTACCTTATTTTTTGCAAGGGATTCTTGAAATTTGATTATATTAGAACAAGAAATGTCATTTTATAGTGTTTTTTGCAAGGGAAAGCGGATTACAACAAAACAACCGGATCTTGATCACATCGATTACCTGAGGCTTCCTCACGAAAATGATGAAAATGTAGCTGCGGCCTAGGCGGCGCAGGGGGGCCGTGCACCAGGGGTCCCAACAATAATTATTCTTTAGAATTAATAATGTTCAACAACAAACACAACAAAAACAACCACAAAAACGTCAAAACTAATAGAAACCCCATCCCCAGACTATTTCCTTGACAATGCGTAAGATTCCTCATGTACAAAGACACGCAACCGTTACTTCAGTCGGGATTCCGCCCGCGCCGCCATAGCGCTGCCCTCATTTTTCCCTCCCGTCGGCTCCCCGTGCCTCCATCTGGCCTCCATCGAGAGCAAGACCACGAGACCCCGAGAGCGAGACTACGACGAGGTCTTGAACTCCCGCTGGAACAAAAAAGCACCTCATCATGCCGAAGTTAGGAGCCGAATCGAGGGACACATGAACAGACGCTGAGGGGGGCACGAAATCTGAGGAGAGATCATGGCCCCCGCCGCATGCTCCCCCCAATAATCACCACCTTGGCCGCCCGCGACAAACGAGCGGCACAAAGGCCCGTCGTGACCTTTTCCACGGCGCCAGGGTCGGAGGACCCGCCGAGTGCAGGCACCCGTGACTACGCCAGGGCAGAGCCCTCCTGGGTCTTAGGATGATGATTTCGCCTGCGCGCAAGAGTGACCTTGGGCAGGAGTAACCTTTGGCGCGCGGACCTCGGGAGCCAGGAGTGGCCCTGGGTAAGAGTTAGGTCGGGCCTGTGCCCCCTACAGGCGGATTCTGGACGAATCATAGAACATACCCCAAGCATGCTCCCAAAATGCTGAGACTAGTTTTTCTTTTTCCCTTTTTTGTAAAACAAATCCCCTGAGCATATTTTTACTATGTTTGAATATTCCCTCTGTGAAGGGACAGGCCCGACTTCAGGGTAAGAGTGACCTTTGGCGCGCGGCTCTTTGGGGGCCGTGGGGGGACCACACGCGAGCGCGTGAGCCGCTGCTGTCGCATCGCGCTCGGCGATCGGGGGCCCCCACGGGGCCCTCACCAGAGGTCACTCCGGCGAAAGGCCACTCTCGCGCCCAGCCGCCGACCTGTGGGCCCGCACCGGAGGTCCCTCCGGCGAACGGCCACTGCCCAGAGTAGCCGAACAGGCCCTCGCGACCTCGGCACGCAGGGCGTGCGCACCACGGCAGGGCCCAGGATGGTGCCCGGCCCAGCCTGGCGGCGCTGTGCGGGAGCCCCAGGCGCCTGGAGGGCCTCCGCAGGCCCTCGGGGGGCCCTCCGACCGCCCCCGAAGGCCTCCGAGGGCCTGCGGGGTGTATACCTACGCGCCTCGCTTGCGAGAGGTCATCCCTTGGAACAATCACGGCACACGCACACACACACACTCACAGGAACGATCGAAGGTCCGCGCCGAGGTCTCGGGGCGGCGCTGGGACCTCAGGCGCATGAGGCGCCGCCATAGGGGGGGGATTCGGCCCTTCGCGCGCCCAGGTCTGACACTGCTCCTGGCGTCCGCGCCAGCGCCAAAACCGAAGCCCGTCCGAACCGGCACCGCAACCGACACCGACGGACGTCACGCAGCCTAAGGTGAGCCCATACGATCATAAACCCCACTATAAGCACTCTGGCGGAGCGCAATCAGCCGGAGGAGGGGAGCCTATGCGCGCTCGCGTCATATCTGACGCCCTACCCCTCCCTCCCATCCCTCACCATGGCGTAGATCTCCTCTCTATTCGCGCAATATGATGTCGTAGCATGGCATAGCATTACATGGCATAGCATGATGTTGATGATTAACGCGTAGCATGACACAGCATGGCGTGGAGACCCCGCAAAAAGGGGGCTTCCGCGGCCCAACAAATCAAAGAATGGACACCGAATGTGTAATCCCTTCCGATGGTTTCTTCGGGATGTCATTCATGTGATCTTGGGGTCTATTTGGAAGGACCGATAGACATGCCGTGGCAAAGCATTAGAGATCATGAGGCCAGCGACTATTCGGAACGAGCGGAAGCGCGGAAATGAGGCCAGCGCTGCAGCGGGAGCACGATTCGAAACGGTCGGTAGCCCGAAACTGAGGCCTGCGCTTCAGCGAGAGCAATATTTTGAGCCAAAACCCAAGCTCGGAAGCGCGGAAATGAGGACGCGTAGCCTGACATAGCATGGCGTGGCGACGCCCCAAAGTGAAGGGGTTTCTGCGGCCCGAAAAACCAACGAATCGGCACCGAATGTGTAATCACTTCTGATTGTTCTTTTTTCTGGGGGGGCTTTATCTAAATGTTGGGGCCGATTTGGAAGAACCGAAAACCATGCCGTGGCATGACGCTGGAAATAATGAAGCCAGCGCCACGGCGGGAACACGATTCGGAACGAGCGGAAGCGCGGAAATGAGGCCAGCGCTGCAGCGGGAGCACGATTCGGAACGAGCGGTAGCCAGAAAATGAGGCCTGCGCTTCAGCGAGAGCAGCATTTTGAACCAAAACCCAAGAGCGGAAGCGCGGAAATGAGGACCGGCAGCCTGACATAGCATGGCGTGGCGACGCCCCAGAGTGGGGGGGGGGGGGCTTCTGCGGCCCAGAAAATCAACGAATCGACACCGAATGTGTAATATCTTCCGAGAGCTTTCCTGTCGGGGGGCCACTATATACATGTTAGGACCTATGTGGAAGGACCGAAAGAGATGCAGTCGCATGTAGCTGAAAAAAATGACGCCACCGCTACAACGGGAGCACTATTCGGAACGAGCACAAGCTCGGAAATGAGGCCAACGCTTCAGCAAAAACAGCATTTTGAACAAAAACCAGCGAAAACCCAACTCCCGAGAATCCTGCGTAAAGAAACAATGCGCGGAAGGGGGGCCGAACAATCCCCAGACGCCACCGGGGGAACGAGGAAAGTAGTCTTCATATTGTTTAGTTGTGGAGGAGGAGGAGGAAAGGGGGAGGAGGAGGAGGAGGAGGAGGAGGAGGAGGAGGAGGAGGAGGAGGAGGAGGAGGAGGCGGAGGAGGAGGAGGAGGAGGAGGAGAGGAGGAGGAGGAGGAGGAGGAGGAGGAGGAGGAGGGGGGGAGAAGGAGGAGAAGAAGGAGAAGGAGGAGAGTAGAAGGAGGAGTAGGAGGAGGAGGAGGAGGGGGGGAGGAGGAGGAGGAGGGGGATGAGGAGGAGGAGGAGGATGAGGAGGAGGAGGACGAGGAGGAAGAGGAGGATGAGAGCAGGGAGGAGGGAGGGCCCATATGATCAGATGTATAAACCCTACTGGAAGCACTCTAGAAACACATGCTTCGGCGACGCTAAGCCTCGTAAAAGGTGTACCACAATGCTCTGCGGGCCCATCCTTGAGATCAGAGAGAAACCTCTCGTGGGGCACCCGCTGGCAGGTCGGCTCCTTGCATTTGACCGTGACTGTAGAAAGGGCGCAACGGCTTAGCAACGACATGGGTGCGGGAGCCGGCCCCTTGGTTCCCCTGACTCTTCTATGTTGCCGACGTCGACCGACTGAAGAGGAGGAGGAGGAAGATGATGAAAGAGGAGGATACGATACGATACAAAAGCACTGGGGCCAATTCAGCAGTTCTCGTCTCTGCGCAGAGCTCGCAGTGCACGGCATGGAGCTCGCACTGCAACTGCGCACTCGCACTGCACAACAATGAGGAACAGAAGAAGGAGGAAGAGGGGGAAGAGGAGGAGAGGGAGGAGGAGGGGGAGGAGGAGGAGGAGGAGGTGGAGGAGGAGGAGGAGGAGGAGGACGAGGAGAAGGAGGAGAAGGAGGAGGAGCGAGGAGGAGGAGGAGGAGGAGGAGCGAGGAGGAGCGAGGAGGAGCGAGGAGCGCATACCCGTGGGCGAAAGCAGAAATCCGCATCTGCGGCCCCGAGGGCGGGGGCCCCCAAGGCCGCGACCCTGCGGATGCGGGTCGCTTCTGTCGCGGGTGCCCCGCGCGGAACGTACCAGTACGACCGCGAATCTGCTGGGCCTGTCTCCCACCAGGAGTTGGAGGGGGGGGGGGTCCTCCTCCTCCTCCTCCCTCTCCTCCTCCTCCTCCTCCTCCTCCTCCTTCCTCCTCCTCTCCTCCTCCTCCTCCTCCTCCTCCTCCCTCCTCCTCTCCTCCCTCCCTCCCTCCTCCCTCCTCCCTCCTCCCTCCTCCTCCTCCTCCCTCCCTCCTCCTCCTCCTCCTCCTCCTCCTCCTCCTCCTCCTCCCTCCTCCCCTCCAAGGCATGGTGGTGGTGGTGGAAAACAGGCCCATGAGAATCCAGACCGCGGGGGCGCAGATACGGACACGTTCGCACCGCGCGAGGGACGGGGGGAGGCGGGGGGGAGCGGAGGGGGCGCGGGAGCAGCAAGGGGAGGTGCAGGCGGGAAGGCGGCCAGGTCCAGAGCCGTTATAGTGCGACCGCGAGGACGGAGCACTGCCGTCCAAGGCGGGACCAGCCAGCGTCGACTCAAAAAAGCGGATCGAATCGAAAAGCGCGTGGGATCGGGCGGCGTCGGCATGGAATCGGCATGGGAGCGGAGCATGTCTCGGCGGCGCGCACGGGGGGACCGTGAGAGGAGGGCGGGCCTCCTCTGAAGGCTCGGGCGGCCTCCGGCATTCTTCTCGCAAGGCTCGGAGACCTCAGGCCTCCCGAGGCGTCCTCTACGCCGCCTCGGGCCTCGGAGGCCTCAGGCCCAGTGCAGGGCGACGATGAATAACAAAGAGGGAACGATTAAACAAATAGTTCCTTTGATTTCTATCGGATTTGTCGACGGGGGGAGGACGATTGAAACATATGTCTATTACACGTCGGCTTCGAATATTATGTCGAACACTGACTTCACGTCGGCGTCAAATTCTACGTTCAATGATCATTCGACGGCGACTTCAGATTTGACGTCAAATGCCAATTCTACGTCGGCTTCAAACTTTTATGCCAAATACTCGTTTCACGTCGGCTTCAGACATTATGTCTAATGATCATTTGTCGTCGGATTCACATGTGACGTCAAATGCGCAATCCACGTCGAATATACGTTTTACAATAAAACTCAAGTTCACGTCTGGCCCGTCGGCTGTTCGGGCGTGCGCCCGAGAACGGCAGGGGGGCAACGATGAAAAAAACGTTTCCCAGCCCGCGGCCGTTTTTTTTTCTAATCATCCTCTGGAGCGCCGCCGATTCACCACGACCCCCGGTCATTTCTCAATCGTCGTCATCCTACATTACTTCTCAGAAGGCCAGTGGGGGCTCCTGAAAGGCCCCGCCGCCTTCTGAGAAGGCCTTCTCCCTCGACGCCTGCTTGGTCTTCGGATCATCACTCGCGCCTCGGGCAACCGCTCGGGACGATCCGTGCACCCCCCGAAACGCTCTCGGCGAGGCGCAGCCGCAGGAACGCATCCCGAGGCTGGAAAACCGCCGGGAACCGACGGGCCCGCCGAAGCCTGGAACAAATCTACCCTGACTAGCTACCAGACCACCCTAACCGAACCCGAAGACCCGAATTTCGCCTGAATTTCGAGCTGGGGGATGGGATACGGGCTTCATGTGTATTTCTTCCATGTTCCCCGACCCCCCCCCCACTGGAAATGGAGGACAGCTTGAGGCCTTCGGGTTGGGTTGGGGTCGCTTGGTGAGGCGTGACGCTCTGGAACAGACCTATCCTCGTCCTGGCCCCGTCCGACCCTCCCTCCCCAGACATGCTCGCGTCAAGAAATCCACCGCCGTGCGTCTGGGCACGGAGAGGGCGCGCCCCTCAGGTCCTGTGCCTAATCCTCTAAGCCTCAGGCCTCGCTCCGACGGAGTCTTGCAGGGGCCCGGAGCCGACATTCCGAATCTACCCGGGCTTCCCGCGTGCCCCAGGGGCCCCGTCTTTTACAGCAAACCCGTATCATGAGGATGCTCGATAAGGATGCAAGTGGCCTTGGAAAGCCATGCTGCCGGCGAAAGATGCCACGGCTGGGCCGAACGGGCAAGGATGGAAAGGCAACCTTGGAATACATATCCATCCTCGTCATGCGGGTTGACTGTATCCCCGTTCTCGACTGAACATCGGCAGCGCCGGTCGGTGCACCGACGCCGCGGCCTGGCTGCTGCCACGGCCCCCGCTGCTGCTGCTGGAGCACTCAGCTTAATATTCTTCCGTGCCGGAGTGCTCTCCGCCTTCTCCTGTCCTTCGCGGCCGCCCTGTCTGTCTTGCCCCCCCTCCTGCACGCCGGCCAACTCGCGCAACGGTGGCCCCAGATCGCTGCTCGATGGTGCAGTTCTGCCTCGCCGCCGACGGAAAAATGTACCCCAGAACTGTTGTGGTTCGTCGAATCTACGAACACATACGTAGAATGTTGGCATGCCTCCAAACGCTCACAAGAGTATGCCTCGCATGATCTTGTGAACGTTTTTTTCTTTTCGGCGTCTCGACATTGGGCGGAAAGGGGTGGGGGGTCTGGTCTAGGCCTCTGCTGAGTGCGACTGTTTGCAGCCGTGCGCCCCTTATGGGGGGTGCTCCACCTGCTCGAAACAGGCGCCCAGAACATCCAAGATCCGTTCCAAGGGGAGGGAGGGGAGGCCGGGGGTGTGCGAGGGCCTGTGCGGATCCGCAAAACAATGCACAAACAACAAAGCAACCACCACTCCTCTGGGGGACCCACAAGGGGGTCCAGATGAAAGGGGGTGGTGCAGTAGATTTGGGGCAGTTGTTTTGCACGTGTATTGTGCTAGAAATTTGTATTCTTGCGTTGCATTGCAAGTGATGTGCTGCACGCGAAAATCCAGCGATACATTTGCGCCCCGGAATGTATCACAAGTCCCAAGTCCATTGCAACCCTACAAATCTTTTGCACCAAGTGTATTGCACCACCCCTCGTCGCTGAACCCCCTTTTGGGTCGACCCGAACTCCACGAAAGGCTGCGGGCCGACGGGCTGACTGTTCCCTCGCCCTCGCCCCGCCCGCCCCTCGAGGCGCCAGGGCCTCCGAGGCGGCGCCCCCTCCCACCGCACACGCGCGCGCGCGCCCGCGAACGATGCCTGCGGCGCCAGGGGCTCCCTCGGCGGCATCGCCGCAGGGGTGCCCTCGAGCTCCGGCCCTGTGTCGGGCGGAGGGGGGGGGAGAAGCAGGATGAGGAGGAGGAGGAGGAGGAGGAGGAGAAGGAGGAGAAGGAGGAAGAGGAGGAGAAGGAGGAGGAGGAGGATTTTATTTCCTCGGGGGCCCACGAGGCAGAACAGAGCATTACCAGCCAGCGCCGCACGGCAGTCTGACGGGTGTGGCAACGCAGGAGATGAGCGTCTCTCCCCTAGCCACTTAGACTTAACCCGCGGGACTGCCGCGGGTCGGAGGCCGAGGCAGCACTCCATGCTCCTCCAAGGCCCGAGCTGCATTCTCCTCCCGCTCTCTTACTCGGGCCGCCAATGCCTCCAGCGAAGGCAGGAGACGCACACCCGAGGGAGCGGAGGGGCTACCAGTAGTGGCTGCAGGTAGCAGCACATACTTGGCAGAGGCGCGACACGTGACGCCAGAACCTGCAGCTACCTTCTCCTCCGATCTGTAGTGAGGATGGAGGCCTTGCCGAATTCGGTGGAGAGCTCCCCTACCACTCGGTCCAGGCTTTCCTTTGCACCGCTCGCCGAGAAGAAAACAACGCTGGCTGGTGAAAGCCCCACACTTGAAGCAACAAACCAGCATTTCACACTCGGCAGTTTGGCGCAGAGAAGAGCACAAGAGGTGGCCCGTTCGCTCTCCGCGCCTTGCAGACGACGCAGGGCCGTGGGGAGTCCATTGCACCCGAGCATAGGCCTCTCGTCGCCATAGGACACCTTAAAGCACTTCCTGCATCGAGCCACGCTTTCCTGGTCGCTCTCATCGCCAGGGTCGAGGATGACCCATTCGTGCCAGCTCAGGGCACGCGGGGGAGGCATCTTGGGGCCCGTCTTTTCCCGCCGAAACTCGAGCTTAAGAAAACAGGAAAGTACTGCTGCAAACATTGCCACGAGCTTGGCGCAGCATGACAAATTCTTGATCCAGCCTCTCCAGCTCGTCTGGGGCTAGGCTGGGGTGAAAACTCAGCGCGTGCTTTGCCAACCTGTCCGCGTCGGCACTGCCCAGGGCAATATTCCGCTCATGCGGTGGGAGTGCTGCGATCACTCCTACAGAGCGATGCGCAGCCACATGTGAGACAGAGATTATGCTGGCCTGGCCATCTTCCGCCAGGGCCCTTCGTCGGACGCCCGCAAAGGTCTGATTGGGGTCCAACTGCGCAGCAGGGCTCGAGGGGGGCCAGACGCACCGCCCCCAAACAGTCACTGTGCACATCACTTCGTCCCGTGGCCAGGCAGCTAAGAGTAGCAATCCCCAGATTTTCTCCAGACTGGGCTGTCTGGGGAAGACCCGGCCGGCCACGCAGCGCCGAGAGTACGAGCTCTCACTATGTAGTCCGTGCCAGGGGCTAGGAAAACAGCAGCATAGGTGGCGCGGTTGAGCTCTCGAAACACTCCAGTGGTGGCCGACCCATCCACGACGATCTCCGCGTCAAGGGTCAGTCTACAAAACTCATCGATCGTTAATGGCTCTCCCTCAGGACCCTGGAGGACGGGGTCGAGGTCCAAGCAAGGAGGAGGATGGGGTGGGCTGAGCCATTATCAACCGAGACCAGAAAAGCAATATATCGGGCGCGGCCATCCTCGCCTCGGCGATTTCTTCGTCAGACAGGTGCTCTCTCCTAGCCGCTCGAGGCTCGGGACTGTCGCAGAAAAACTGTCTGTGGACTAGGGAGTCGGGCTGACGACAAAGCGGACACAAACCGTCGTGAACATACCCCGAGGATCTCAGCCTATCTCCCGTCCAACAGGCCCCAGAGAAAACAGCACTCAACCAATATTTTTAACGAGGGGGGGTGCGCTTGGACCGCATCATTCTTTGGAGCGGGTCCGAAGCAACTCTGTCGGCACTAAGTTATGGCAAGGCCTGCGCCATACGACGCTCATGTGATCTCTGAACTCCATCCTGCAGTAGCTGATTGACCAGGGCAGGTGCCGTGTAGAGAAGATCGATAACGCATCCTCGGTCGTCGTGCCATACTGTGAAACTTGTAGCTGTCCACCCTATTCTATGTAGGATCAACAGCATGCGGTGCATGGGTCCCCGAGATAGCTTCCAGCCAGAAGGTTCCAGAACAAGGTTTTGAGCTTCCACCGTGTCCCGCCATATCTGGATGTGTTCCCGAAACGAGAAAGGCGATGATCGTGGCTGGGTGATGGACCTCCAGATGCTCAAGGCCCATTGGGCCGCTGGCGCAACCGCCTGCTTCCACGCTGGATCGCCGTGCAAGGCCAACTTAGCAGTGAGGGGGGCACCTTTGTGTGCTGGGCTGCGTCCAGCCATTGGGGTACTCTGAAGCGCCCGTAGTTCGCCATCTGCAAAGCCAAGAACCATGGCTCCGTAGCCCGCTGCAGGGCGAACTCCAGCAACATAAATCTTAGACATCCTGGACTTGTCCCGTGGCAACCGTTTGCGGTAAAATGACAAACAGCGGTGCCTTTTACTCGTAGCTCGTAGTCGTTGGTGCCGCTTGTGTAGTCCTCCTCTGCATCCTCTCCTCTGGCCTGGTGCTAGGTCTGTCCCAAGCGATACTACTGCATTCGATGCCACCGACGGACATGCTACTAGCAGCCTCCTGGAGAGCCTCGTCGCCAGCCTCTGCGAAGATGCAAAAGTCACGGCCTTGTCCTCTGCTAGGTGGACGTTCAGCCGTTCCGAAAAATAGCTTTCAAGTCGTGGCCAGCCTTGGTTAGGTTCGCCACTATCTCATCCTCGTCTCCATACGCAACAACCGTGTCATCTATGTAGGAGCCTAGCGATACCTGTGGATTTCGGAGCGCGAACTGGTCGAAATCGTACATAGCATAAGCTTTAACGAAGACGTCGTTAAAGATGCCCCCCGCTGGTAGACCCGAGCCCGCAAAGAGCGCCAGAGGGGAGCAGTTGGGGCCCAATCGGAGTATACGGGGACCACGCCATAGATTGTAGAGGGTCTTGATGAGGACCAGAGGAATGCCCCAATAGACGGCTCGATCTCGGAGCCACGCTAGAACAAACGACTCGTAATATTTCATACCATCCCAAATGAAACCTGCCGTGGACTTCCCCGTCGAAGAAGCCTGTTCTGCTAGGGCGCTTTGTTTCCAGATGGCCACCTCCGAACTGGTTCCATTCCCGAAGGACCAGTAAGGCCGTTGGGCCCGCTCGAGAAACTCATCAGCCTGGCCCCGTCGGAGCCTCTCCCACAGGCGCACGGGCGACCCCAGGGGCAGGATGGGCCGTAGACCTCCCTTCGGCTTCTCCAAGAGGGGCATCAGCATCCACAACAATTGGGACGGACAAGTTCCTATCCGCTCCACCGCCTCAAAGAGTAGCGCCAGGACCTCCAGCCCCATGTCGCTGAGGCAGGCAAAGTGTCGCGGGTGGAAGCCGCCCAGCGACTGGGAGGCATGCCTGCTGAAGGACCTCGCGGCGACGCGGAGCTCCGTCGGGGCGGCTCGTGGGAAGCACTCACGATCTGGGACCCAAGCTGTTGGGGGGCCCAGACTAGCATTCCAGTCCTCACCAAACTTAACCGTCTCGTCCATGAGGAGGCTATTCGGGCCCGACGTGAATATACCAGGGGAGCTTTGCACAACCGTGGGGGCCCAAACCTTCTGAGCTCTGGTGACCCTGCGCATGGGCCTTGCGGGGCCTTGAAGAGCTTGAGTGGTCCGGGTGCCCCGAGATTCCCTTGCAAACCGCTCTCCTTCAGCAACGGCCTCATCAAAATCAGCTTGAACATCTTGCAGGAAAAGTTGCGCACGCTCGCACCATGACTGCTTGGCCGAGGGGTCGGGGCGCCAGAGGAGTGCAATCTCACGCATGACGCGCAAGGAAGCATCAAGCCTGGCACACTGACCTTCTCCCGCACAGCCGTGCTGCAAGGCTACCTGGAGGTGCATGCACGTGCACTCGTCTAAATCGTCTGACTGGACCGCCGTGACAAACTCAGTGAAAGCGTTAAACAGCCATTTCCAACCTGCGATGATCTGGAGCCTAGCATCTGGGTCCTTCGGCCGATAGAAAACTGAAACCCAAGATGCCTTACTCGTCCTGCTCCTCTCTCCTAATTCCCGTGGTTCAACTCCGAGAACATTGCATAGCTCCACTTCGGCAACGTCAGCGAAGTGGCCCCAAGCCTTCGACAGCACTCTCCAAGCGCGGCATGCCGAGAGAGATGCGCGAGCAACAGCTTGCGCAGCGTGTGCTAGTGCACCTCGCCACTCTGCAGGATGGGGCGTGAGGCCGTATGGAGGATCATGAGGAAGCTTCTGATGAGATCGATAGATGAGCTGCCTGAGGGAGAGAGCCTCTGCCTTGATCTTCAAACGTACTGGGCGGCGCGGCTTGACCTCCCACTTGGTGTCGACTGCGACACCGTCAATCAGTCTGGCCATTCCTGGCCCCAGCAAGAAAAAATCGATGGTGCTGCTGGAGGCTGGAGACCTGCACGTGGGCATAGTAGGAGCGACTATCACCATGCCTAATCGACGGGGATAACCAGACTCCGCAAGAACTTGTGGCGATAGATTCCAATCCCCTCCGATGATGGCGTTCTCCGAGTCCAAAACCGACCATCCGAGAGCCTTCAGAATGCTGAGGTTGGCCTCGCTGAGGCCTTCGGCCGAACGAAGGTATACCGAATAGAGCGACACCGTGGGCCATCCAGGGAAGTCGAGGAGGACCTTGATAGCACGATGAGCCACGATGCAACCGTCACCTCCCCTTTCGGTGGGCCACCTGAGTCCCGCCGCCAGACGAGCAAATACGCCGACTCCACTAGATAACTGTCCAGTCTCAGGATTGAGTCGAGCAGGGAGAAAGAGAGCGTGCCAACCGAGCCCACGGGCCGCGCTGGTGGCCTGCCCTAGGAACTCGTCGCTGATGCCCAGCTCCTGAGCACAGAGTACCACTGCATCCGTCTCAGCGAGACGGCGTCGAAGTGTCTTCCAGCACGAACCGTTGAAAGACTCAAAAAAAAAAAAACTATTCTGCACACTCTCAGGGGCC